GAGAGAGAGAGAGAGAGAGAGAGAGAGAGAGAGAGCGTATTGCGGCAAGACACGATGAAGGGGAGAGGGCAACAACGCGCGCGTGTTCGAGACATGATTTCACGTATGTGCCTGTGAAGTACTCTTTAGAGAAGACAATCGAGGTGTTAGGCTGGAAATCCGTACCAATTTGAGCGACTTACACGCGTTCGCTTAAAAGCTCAGTAACAGCATACACTATATATGTATATGTACACATACATATATGTATATGCATATACATATAATATATAAACTATGTAATAATATGTACATTTGTTTTCTCAATCTTCACGGGATAAAAAAGTTTGAATGTACAATACTCACATTATTTTACAATATTGAAATGCTAATTGACCGGATGAATATTTATTGTTACATTCTATTCTGGCAATTACTATCTAGCAATACTAACATAATCTTTATAAAAATCGCGTTTATCCTCAAGATTTACTGTCATATATTAGAGATAGGTATAAATAATACGTTCGAAAATTATTTATAAATTGGCTGTGTTAATTTTTATGAGTTGTTAATTAATAATGTTTAGATTAGATGAACATAGTGATGTAATTATTAGAAATTGAGAAAGATTAAGTAAATCAAAACATCTTTGTTATTATATGTTTATGACAATAAATTAAATGCATATTAATTAATTACTACTTGTTATTACATGTTATAAGCTATTAAACATTGTAACTTTGCTTTGCAATCTTACGAGCCTGTTTACTTTATAAATTTACAATATAATTATATTAAATATAATTATATAATTTTGATAGAAAAATATAATAATGAATTTCACGCAAGTATAATTACACATATACAACGTACAAGAAACAGTTTACTTTGATTTTTTAGGTCTTTCCCAATTTATCCCGATGCAACAAACCCTCAAAGTTCAGCTTTCGTGGGGTACTATACTTTCGTGGGATGTGGTAATGGACATAGTTTGTCGGTAATGTCCGAGACTAATTCCCGTGTTATTTCATTAACGTCCCACAGGTCCCGAGGGGTAAAGCTTCTACTCCAAGGGGGTTGCCACTGTCGCGCCGACGCGCAGCGCCATAGTTGTCCCTGATCCTCGCCGGGTCTAGGGGTTCGTATCGGGCACGTGTCAAAGGGTGAGAATTTATGAGGTGAGTGCCTCGCGCGAAAAGACCGATTGATAGCCGGCCGTATGTACGCTGCCTTG